TTGGGGTGATTCTGGTGCCAGATAATGAATCCAACCCCAAATTGTTTGGATAATTTTTTCCTGCCTTATAAAAAATCTGAGTGCAGGGAGAGGAGAATGGGAAAAAAACAGGTGTCAGGGATAAATCCATGGCTTTGGGGGCTCCAAATTATTAAATTCCAGAGGCAGATTGTCCTGGGGAGAGCAGGAATAGGTTTTGAAGGATTTTTGGGAGCCCCAAATTAAATTCCAGAGTCAGATTGTCCTTGGATCTGTCCCTGGGTGAGCAGGAATTTTTAGGATATTCCTAAATTCCAGAAGCAGATCGTCCTTGGGGAGAGCAGCAATATCTTGAAGGTTTTCTTTGGGAAGTCCAAATTATTAAATTCCAGATTTTCCTTGGAAGATCAGGAATATCTCGAAGGATTTTTGGGAGCCCCATCCTGAACTCCTGGGCCCACCTGGGCTGTGCCAAAGGCTTTAAATCCTGGTGGGAATTGGGTGGGGAGCACTCTCAGGGGATCCCACATTTCAGTGTAATTAATTAATGAATAATTTAATTATTAAAGTGCAGCAAACACTGCCTCAAACATTCCTGGAGCTCTTGGGGCCGTGCCCATTCCCTGGTTCAGTGCCCAGCACCTCTGGGGGAAGAACCTGGGTCTGATGCCCACCTAAAACTGGTTCTGATATTAAACCTGGTTCTGATTCTTACTTAAACCCAGCTCTGATGCTAAAACTTGTTCTGATCCTAAACCTGGTTCTGATCCCCACCTAAACCTGGTTTTAATGCCCCCCTAAATCTGGTTCTGATACTAAACCTGATTCTGAAGCCCACCTAAACCTGGTTCTGATACTGAACCTGGTTTTAATCCCCACCTAAACCTCGTTCTGGTACTGACCCTGGTTCTGATCCCCCCAAAATTGGTTCTGATGCTGAACCTGGTTCTGATCCCCACCTAAACCTGGTTTTAATGCCCCCCTAAATCTGGTTCTGATACTAAATCTGGTTCTGATCCCCACCCAAACCTGGGTCTGATGCCCCTAAACCTGGTTCTGATTTCCCCCTAAACCTGGTTCTGATACTAAACCTGGTTCTGATATTAAACTTGGTTCTGATCCCCCCTAAACCTGGTTCTGGTGCCCACCTAAACCTGGTTCTGATCCCACCTAAGTCTGGTTCTGATATTGAGCCTGGTTGTGATCCCACCTAAACCTGGTTCTGATACTAAACCTGGTTTTGATTCCCCCTTAACCTGGTTCTAATACTAAACTTGGTTCTGATGGCCACCTAAACTGGATTGTAATGCCCCTCCTAAATCTGGTTCTGATATTGAACCTGGTTCTGATCCCACCTAAACCTGGTTCTGATGCCCACCTAAACCTGCCCCTGAACTGGGGACACTGGGCTGAACTGGGAATGCTGGACTGGGGGCACTGGGCTGAACTGGGAGCACTGGGATGGGCTGGAGACACTGGGCTAAACTGGGAATGCTGGACTGGGGGTACTGGGATGGACTGGGCTGAACTGGGGGCACTGGGAATGCTGGACTGGGTGTACTGGGCTGAACTGGAAACGCTGGACTGGGAGCACTGGGATGGGCTGGGNGGCCGTGGTGGGGTTGTGTGGGCTCAGCTCCTCTGTGCTCTCCATCATCACCATCCTGCACCCCTGGCTCAAGCTGAAACCATAGTTTTCTGGGGATTTTTGAGGGATTTTGGGGGGTTTTGGCACCTCTGGACTTGACTGGTTGGTGCCATTCCCTTCGTTCCTGACTCTTTGGAGTGACAGCATTGGATCCCACAAGGACATCAACTCCCAAAATGTGGTTTTTCCCATTGACTTTTCCAGGGATTTTAGGGAAAAAAATAGGGGTTAAACACTCCCCCTTTCTGTATGGGAAGAGCCTTTGATATGGAGCAACTAACAGGGAATATTTGGGGTTGGAAAGTGTGGGGTTGTGTGGGCTCAGCTCCTCTGTGCTCTCCATCATCACCGTCCTGCACCCCTGGCTCAAGCTGAAACCATAGTTTTCTTGGGAATTTTTGGGATTTTGGGGGGTTTTGGCACCTCTGGAAGTGCCATTCCCTTCATTCCTGACTCTTTGGAGCCACAAAGTTCCAGCATTGGATCCCACAAGGACATCAACTCCCAAAATGTGGTTTTTCCCATTGACTTTTCGAGCAATTATAGGGAAAAAATGGGGGTTTAATGTTCTCCCTTTCTGTCTGGGAAGAGCCTTTCATATGGAGCAACTAACAGGGAATATTTGGGGTTGGAAAGTGTGGGATTTTGGGGCTGGAAAATGAGGATTTGGGGCTGGAAAATGTGGGGTTCTGTGGGCTCAGCTCATCCCTGCTCTCCATTATCACCATCCTGCACCCCTGGCTCAAGCTGAAACCGTAGTTTTCCTGGGAATTTTTGGGATTTTTGGGGGGTTTTGGCACCTCTGGAAGTGACTGGTTGGTGCCATTCCCTTCATTCTGACTCTTTGGAGCCATGAGGTTCCAGCGTTCGATGCAGCATTGGATCCCACAAGGACATCAGCTCCCCAAAATGTGGTTTTTTTCTTATTGACTTCTAAGGAAAAATAGGGGTTCAAAATTCCCCCTTTCTGTGTGGGAAGAGCCTTTGATATGGATCCAGCTAATGGGAATATTTGGGGCTGGAAAATGTGGATTTGGGGCTGGAAAATGTGGGGTTCTGTGGACTCAGCTCATCCCTGCTCTCCATCATCACCATCCTGCACCCCTGGCTCAAGCTGAAACCATAGTTTTCTTGGGATTTTTGGGGGATTTTTGGGGAGTTTTGGCACCTCTGGAAGTGCCATTCCCTTCATTCCTGACTCTTTGGAGTGACAGAGTTCCAGCATTGGATCCCACAAGGACATCAACTCCCAAAATGTGTTTTTTCCCATTGATTTTTACAGCAATTTTAGGGGTTCAATGTTCCCCCTTTCTGTCTGGGAAGAGCCTTTCATATGGACCGACTAACAGGGAATATTTGAGGTTGAAAAATGTGGGATTTTGGGGCTGGAAAATGTGGATTTGGGGCTGGAAAATGTGGGGTTCTGTGGGCTCAGCTCATCCCTGCTCTCCATCATCACCATCCTGCA